CGATAAAACGAGAGCAATTAAGACAATATCGCCATGATATCGGATTTGTTATGACCACAGGGGAACCTCGTTATGGGAAATGACAATTCTCTTATGCTCACCACTGCAACGTAGCTGATAAAAAGAAGTAACCAATTAAACGAAAGCATGCATTTTCTGAATCTTTTGTATTGTTGCAAATAACGTATATCAATGTTAGCGTAGACCGGCTTTGTAACAAAAGGATCGCAGGTTATTGCTGCAATGAGTATTTTCACTGAAATCAAATTAAGCTCATTGCGTGGGCAAGTGAGCCCCGAAACTAAAATGAAACAGAAAAACTGCAGAGTAACATATACGTCCCAAGGTATCCCTAATAATTTACATTGTATATTCCCATGATGCATCTCATCTCGGGATCTCATTTATGTGAACAAGAGAAATAGCTAACTTACTCATTAGATGCGGTAGCCTGGGGTTTACATACAAATGTTTCAATTTGTCCCCTGGTTATGCTTTCGGGGTTCAACCATATACACAGATAAACCTAACCCTATTGTAGTGTTGACTTGATATTATCAATAATAATATTTTCTTGTTACAACTATCTGCGTCGAAGATCAATAACGGGAGCGTGTACAGATCATCATCTTTATTTTATGACAACCAAATAATAGCTAATCAAGAAGACATTGCTGCACGTGAATTAAATTAAACATTACATTACATCACATCACTGTGCAATTGCATATTCCCCGCCTCTGCAATGTGATACATTGCCTGTCCTATGTATATTTGCCCGCTCTATACAATGACATATTTTCCGCTCCAATGAGAAAGTTTTTGATGTAATCATGCATTTCATTCTATAAATTAATTAGCTAAAGTTGGCGTTAAGGGTAAACTATTCACAGTATTACGTTCCTTGTACTCAAAAAGTATGTATCTGTTCACCTGTTGGAATCACATATTTCATTTCCCAGATGTGAATTAGGTGTCCAACAGGGTAGTATACTACCACTTCTCTTATTTTTTTATTAATGACATTCGAAATGCAATGTACCAAGATCATTCACATAGTTACAAAGAAATCTCCTTATGAGCTTTTTGCTGACGATCTGTCACCCTTAAGCTCAACTAGGGTGGGTTCTGAACAATCTGAGAATTATTGCTATAAATAAATAAATCGAAACATTGCTGTAATAAGGCTTGGCAGCAGACTCAATTGATTCTGAAATTGATTCCTTTATGGTGACAGAATAGACGCCACCTTGGGTGCTATCTAGTTCTAGTTTCATGGACTCACACATTTTAGCTAGCCAATTAAGCAAGCTATACCAAAATAACGTTAATGTTAAAATATCACTTTTTTATGGCACAATCTAACTAATTGTGTTGTATGGCAGTGAGACAACAGAATTGCAAGAGGCATATAACCAAGGTCATGTAACTGAAGAACAAGAACACAACCAAAATCTGTATGTAGATACACATAGAAGAGGTACAGCATTTCAAATACATTGGCAGCTATATATCAGCTTACAGTAGTATCGAGAAGGAAATCGCATCTAGAATTCAGTAGACTGCAGAATATCTGGAAATCATCAGTCCTGAAATCCAGCAACAAAATTAAAATTTACAAATCAAATGTCCGCTCAGTTCTCCTGTATGCAACCGAAACCTTGAGAAAATTGAAAGCAGACTCAGAGACTTTGAAAGCTGGTTTCACCGCCGAATCTTTAAAGTACAATGGTCACAACATAGTAGAAGTCAGGTATTAAAACTATCGTCCATGAAGCAACCCCCCCTCCTATGCTACTTGCATAGAAGTGCAATACGGGTATGTGCCGCCCGACTGGGGTGTCATTTCACGTTATTTTGTTTAGAAGTGGGTGGTCATTTATCAATGGTTTGGTTTAGAAGTGTGTAGCATTTATTCCATTTTTCACAGGTCCTTATATTCAAGGCCAAATACCGGAAAAGGCTGAATAAATTGCATCGGCCGGATGCGCTCACTGGTTGCGAAAGTTGTGAGCTGGGTGTTTTTTTCGCTAAAAACAGTTTTGTTTAGAAGTGGGTATATATATAGAAAAAAATGGTTTAGAAGTGAGTATGGTTTACGAGAGGTGGGCTTCACGCCCTTACCCATTTAATGTGGAAGTACCCCCCCCCCCCGGGAGCAAAACAAAGACGCTGGGGTGGCTGGGCCATGTGATGAGAATGAATAAGACCAGACACCCACACACTGCACTCAGATGGGAACCGCCAGGAAAGAGTAGAAGAGTCAGACCATTGGGTACCTGTCTGAGAACAGTGGAAGAGGAAATGGTAGAAATGGGGAAAACCTGGAACGTGGTTCATTGGCTTGCTCAGGACCGTGAAGGCCGGAGGAGTTATATTGGCGCCTTATGCTCCAGTTGAAGCGAAGAAGATTAAGCTAAGTGAGGTTTGGGAATATCAAAAATGAGAACAAATTGAAGCTTTGCACATGACCTTTTTATATTGCTTTGCCTTGAAGGTATACCAAAATGTAGCAAACTTTCTGTCCACGATAGAATCGAATATTATATGATGTAGCCAAATATGTATTATCAAATACTGATTGCATATTAATGCCATCTACTTCAGTCCTGACTTCCAGTGTGTACCTAACTGTTATCAGCGGATATATTGTCAGAATCACACTATCTCATGGAATATGCTCCGATTGAACGTGTTTGGGGGGGGGGGGGGTAATATCCACATTTATCATGAACTAATTCAACTTTAAATTAAAGAAGCCAGATTTCGTTCAATCTCATATCAGTTTCACAGAAGTATCAATCAGTCCATGCATATTAAGTTCAAACTTCTTTCAAACAGATATTATGAATGGAAGTCTCTTTAGAAAGTGTACGTCTCACTTATTAGGATGATGTTCGGCCAGCTTGATTATGATTTCAGCTACCGCCTGGCATCATGACATTCCTATCAATCTGGGGACATAAGACCACTGGAACCCAAAATATCCAGAGTATACCTTGTACAGTCTTCCGATATGACGATATTGGGGGGGGGGGGGGGGCTTAGCCCAAAGACAAAGTTCCAGTTCATTGTCTTTCTCTGCGACTAGACCTATTCCTGTCTGACTTTCTGGTGGATCATATGCATCTTCAACTAGGGATCTCCATAGTAAAATCATTAGGAGAGTTCATTTTAGCTATTATTATCAGAATGCAGAGGGAAAATTCAATTGTGAATTTTTGTTTTGGGTGATATTGGGGATCACCTTTTAGCGGTCTGATGCAGGGGTACTACTGTACTACTGACTGGGATACCAATCTCAACTGGGGGGGGGGGGGGTGTCCCTCTGTGGTCATTCTGCATCACTTGACGACTATAGCCTCTTCTGTCTCCTGGGAGACAGCCAGCTTGCTGGCTACTTTTCCCATATGTGACAAGGTGCTTGGCTTGTCATGCGCATTACCCTCTAAAAGTTGTCCTAACATGCATAGTTGAATAAATGCAGGAACCACACTCCAACCTTGCACATACAGGATTCCAGCCCACCATTCAACATCAGGTTTGGTCATCAAGTCAAATAAATAATAGTAAATCCACATTGCGCAACACACATTATTTCATTCAACTCTGGGATTACAGGAGAACTATACATGGTGAAATTCTTTGTTCATGATATGCCATTCAGAGATATAGTCATATCACAGATGGGCGTCTTGAACCTTCCAATTCACATCCCACTTTGAGGGGAATGTGCACATTTGTGCCAAGGGATACCCCAAGCACATTCCAGGCCGTGGCTTTTCGTGCTCTTGTTTGCCTAGCACCATCTTTATCTTGAACACAGAGTACTTGACTTGTTTAAGCTCACTATGATGATCTTTTGCAACTATCAGGGAAACTTCTAGTTGGTGGTTCATGGCTTTACTACTCTGCCGAGGTGGACTACCTAAAGTTATCCCAACCTCTTTTTTAGGCTGGGACAGTTTCATGATTCAAACATTATTCATACTACCAGTATATCATCACCTCTCTGGGTTGGTGCTACAAGAGTGCTCATCCTTGATGTCTCCTTTCTTGAGTAGGCTCCTGAATAGGTCACAGCATGGCCCTCTTTAGTGTGTTTTTTGGGCAACCTCACACTTTGAGGAACACTACTGTGATACCCAGGCTCATCTGACACTGCATGAGTCAGGTCATAGTCCCTCACTATGTCATAAACTCTGAAACAGTCACATTGCAACCAATGGACCCCTTTCTCCCCCAAGACCTTACAAAGGCTTCAATAACCAACCTGAGGCCAAAGAAAATATTCATTAATATTTTAAGATATATCACAAAATGAACAAATGTTATAGAGGTCCACCCAAGGAACATATGTACCATGTATAAAAGCAATGGTTAATGGTTTTCAAGAAAAAACGCTTGCGAGACGGCCGTGACAGACAATCAACTATACAAACAGCTCTGGCTGTTATCTAAAAACGTTTTAACACACCCACAAACAGAAATGACAACAATTATTCACACAAAAACATTTTATTATATTCAATAATAACACAACAACAATAAACTTGCGGCTACTAATGAACATCATATGGGGAAATTAAATGAAGAATCAATATCAGCCAAATTAGTTTTATTTTCAGTTCACTGTGGTAGTCTTTAAACTCTGTTTGTGCTTTCACTGGTAAACCAAATGGACGGAAACAAATAATTGTTACTCTGGAAAACTGGTTTACACATGTACAATGGATGGTACAGGTAATGTAAATATTAAGCATAAAATAGATGGTTGATAAATCTAAAAAGTAGATATTTTGGAAAAATATTGGCACAATAATCGTATTGCATAGAATTTATAGAAATTGATTTCAGCATTAAATAAGATAAGAGAATGTTATGTTTTTTTGTTCGCAGTTAGTATGTACAATCATGTTCAGCAAGAAGCCACATTACTGGTTGCCATTGACGAGCTGATCAATAAGCAATGCTGTTTCAAACAATCCGGCCAATCAGTCTTAATCTTGCTCCATCAGTGCATTTTCCACAGCTTGAGCAGCTCCGGTTGTCATCTCATCAGCATCTTTCTGTAATAATAACACAAGATATATTTAGTAATTAGACAGTAACAGCTTGAGTCCATTAATAGGGCAGGCAATGGTAAATCTAATAATGTGGATTTAATGATGTGAACCACTAATGGAACACTACTGAGTGATTAACATATGATATGTGTGAACGACATGATAGTGTGTGAATGAATCACAAAGGGTGCTATATAATCTATTTCAATGCATACATGTTGATAAAATAACCAGCTGAGAGATACACACATCGTTTTAATAAATTCAAAAAAAATATTGCGTAATTTTTTTTGATAAAGACTTATTTGATACCAACAAATTTAAGGCCTTGTTCGGGATACATGCCAAGAATAATTCCCATTAAACAGAGTTGAAGAGTTAGTGTTTATTTTACCAAGATAATTTGTTATTGCAAGGCAATTATTTTCCACAAGACTGACTTTTTTGATAATCTGGAAAATTGGGTTGCTCATATACGTAATGATTTTTAGCAATTCCGAGAGTCATTATAGTAATCCTATTGAGAACGCACAGATTGGAAATTGACTGGGTTTCATATTTAGTGAATTTGATATTGCAATGATATTCACTGAGTTTGGAATTTGGAAGGAAACGATACATGAGTTTTAGCTACCAGCGATATTCACTAAAATAGTTAATAATCACTCATGTCTGTTGATGTCATTCTTATAGAAATCATCATAAAAATGCAATGTATATGAATTACCGTAGCTCTGATTTCTAATAATCGTTTTTTATTATCATCTATTCAAATATTTTATTAGTTTTTTTTTGTGTTTATCTGTTAATTTGTTTGGGAGAATTTTTTTTTTTTTCATTTAGTTTTTCAAGGCAATGGTGGTATATAAAAAAAAACAAAAACTGAAAAAGTGAAAAAAAATGAATAAAATATTTTAGCTCATACCTATGCATCAGATTTTATCAGATTGTAAAAGTAGCTCTTATTAAAGTATTTATCATTTATGAGAACAAATCTGTGCATTTCTATCATATTAGGAGTACATCCCATCATCCACAGATTTTAACATTTAATGCAATGTTTTATTACTCAGTTTCACATCATTGCAGACAAAGTGGTCACTTCTTTATTCACCTCAGTCATTTGCAATGAGATAAAGAAATCAATAAACACAGTAGATATAGTACATACAATCTAGTTTTTTTAACGCTTAAAAAAAAATCTGTGACAGAGATCAAATCGAACTTAAAGGCCCTTTAAGACTTGATAAAGTGGAATTAGATTTATAAGGTATTCAGAGAACATTCAATTGTGAATAGAAACGGAAATAGAACATGCATAAGCATGTAAGCAAGGTAGATGCAGGATGTGGAACAAGTATAGAATAAATCTGCTAATGGATGGATAGATGGGTGGGCACTGTTGTTGTTAAGAGGGGTTTATGCCATTGCAATTCAGTGAATTGTATATTGATAGCTTGTACGTGTTTCAAAATCCAAACACAGACACGCAAGCCTGGAGAAGTATTGATTATTATACGCTAAGTACACTAAAGCATTTCTGTTTCTGTCTACTGGGATGTAGAGTCTGGCATGTATGTAATACAACAACAAAGAGATGGAGGGAATAAAAAAAAATATGCAAAACGGCTAATTAACATAATTTTTGCAGTCTATAATTCCAAAGTAGTATTAAACTGTCAACGCCACAAACAGTATGTATGTATAAATTTTAAACCATTTGAGCTAACTGTTGATATGATATGAACGAACATACTGATTAGTACCAACATTTAATAAGGTCTTGAGTGTATCACACACAAAAACTGTCCCAAATTTTATCCCAATCCACCAAGTGGTTTTCGAGATACGTGTGAAAGAAGACTTGACACATCCATCCATCCACATATTCGTACAGACAGACAGACATTGGTATGACATTCGCCTTCCCTTGTTAATAACGCAGACGGGAGCCAAAAATCATAAACATTTTAATATAGAAATGGGAGACATAAAAAGCTTTCAACCATTACAACATTTTATTAGTCAATAAAAATAATTCCTTAGCCATACCGCTGAATCTGGTTCATAAAAATATTACAATATGCAGGATGCATGACAAGGTGGTTATGAGTTAGGATGTTTCAAAAGATTACAAAATAATCCCTTATTATCCTGATATTCATCATGTCATATGTCATACTATTATAGTATACCTATATACATGTTCTTATCATAAATCAAGACATTCAGTCGCATAACAATATTCTGAATGAAAAGTGAATGAACCATATAAGTTGGTGCCTCCCCAGAACTCGGTCACCATATGTTCACTGAGAAACTAATAATGGATGGAACTGCGAGATAAAAAGTAATAACCGGCATCGATATTCCGTTGAAATTTGTTACAGAGAGAAAATTTAGAAAGTGCACCTGTCTGAGGTGAGTGCAATATTACTCAAAATGTAAGTTTGTATTAAAGTGAGACAGAGGGTTGATTCCAAAATATTAGAAAACTAAATAGACACTAGACTACACAAACAGTATGAATGTACCAAGTTTCAATCCATTTGCTCTAATAGTAGCATCTATGCTACCTAGGACACAGAAGACCATACATATCTGTTGTACTTATGCAACATTTCTATGGTCAAAATAACTCATATTTGAATGACCGAGTACACAATAAATGCAATTTTTTATTTGCATATGTCTATATCAGAGTTAGCATGATAACTGTTAAAATGCAAAATAAACAAATAGATAATTAACAAATCGGGGTACTATAAATCAATTCCAAACATAAATGACATTGAGATACTCTTACTTCATCAGAATTGACCATAGTCAAATATCATCATTATTAAGCATGGAAATACTCGAAAATTACTTGTGTAGTGTTTTGACGCTATGATCTTTGTTTGTCCTATTTCTATGTTTGATTTCAAACATAATACGGAACCTCACAGTGAACAGATAATTGATATGAATTTCTACCAATTAGGTTTTATCAAAATCCTGTCAGTAATTCAAGAGAGCTGTTGGAATCAGATTTTACAAAGACATCACTGTATCTCCGCATGTACATATACATGTAATGGATACACCACTAACCGTGTGAGAGCACAGAAGCCAAAAGTGAAACAGAGATGATTTTCAGGCAAATTATAGGTCGAGTAACTGCTAGCAGAATCCTGGGCTCATGCAGCTCTTAAAATAACTTAAAAACTTCCTTCTACGGCATGTGATAATTTAAGAAAGTGACTTTATGGCGATATACAACTAGAGCAAAGATCTTCTGTGTGAGTCACAGCAGAATGAAACTTTTCAACATTATACTGACGGATTAATTGATATTCATAGACTAGGTTGCATTAAGGTTTAAGTGAAGCTATAATATGATTGGATCATTAATAGGATTTGGAGAAAAGACAGGATTAAGTTGGACGATAAGAGACTGATCAAAAAATAATGGAATTACAGACAAAATTATTAAAAATACGTCATTGTTAATTGAATGTGATTATCAGTGGGGATTACTCGACATGCCCAGTGAATATTGAATTAAAGCCAAGTATCTTGTAACACTGCAAGCTCATTATAAACTTCATTCTAGTAATACAAAGTGGCTGGGTAGAGACTCCACTTTAATAAGGCATTACAGAGCAATGGAAAGCTGCTTATCTGATTTAACAAGTACAATGTCATTGTGATTTTGAGGTAATTTATTTAAAAAAACGACTGCCCATATAAAGTGAATTAATTCCTACAGACTCAATATTTTATTTTGGATGTAGATGCAATTGTGGCTCTGCACAAATAAGTTAATTATGTGAGCATGTCACACATATATTTTTCAAAATGACAGAAAGCACTGCTGAGAATTGTCTGAAGACAGTACATGTCATTTGATGTATTGAAACAAGTTTGAACAAGTAAATGTCTCCCAAGAGTTAATTCCTGTTAATTGATCTATGTCTATATACATATAT